ATGGTTTACTTGGCTAAATAAGAGGCAAGGTGATCCTATTGCTAGAAGACTTGATAGGGCTTTTGTCAATCTGGAGTGGCTGGAAGATATGAAACAGAGTGTAGTGCAGATGCAATCTCCTGGGGTCTCGGATCATTGCCCGGTTTTTATTCAAACTAAGTTCCCTCTTAAGTCTTTGCCTAAGCCATTTAAATTTTTCAATTTCTGGCTAGGGCATCCAATGTATGAGGGGCTACTTGCTCAGGCTTGGACTGAAGTTGTGGGAGGTTTGCCTTTGATCAGGGTTTACGAGAAGCTAAGGATACTGAAAGGTTTGCTCAAGAAGCTCAACAAAAAGGAATTCTCTGATATAAGGGGGAGAGTGAGGGATAAATAAAGAGAACTGGAATCTATCCAATTCGCTGCCCTTTCAAGTCCTACTCAAATGAGTTTTGAGGTTGAAGTTAAAGTTTCTAAAGAACTGTTTGATCTGATTCGAGCTGAAGAAATTTTTCTGAAGCAGAAATCTAGAGAGTTGTGGTTAAAAATAGAGGACACTAACTCAGGTTTTTTCCATCGTTCTATGAGAACTAGGCTCAAAAGGAATACAATTACTTCTCTTAAGGATGCTTAGGGAAATATTGTCACATCAGTGGAAGGCATGTGTCAGGTGGCTATTGATTTCTATAAGCATCTGCTGGGGAGAGTTAATCCGCATGTAGAGTTGGAGTCAGTGGATTTCTACAAGGGCTTGCTAAGGCATAAGCTCAACCTTGCCCAGGTGACCTCTCTCTATGCTCCCATCACTGCTACTGAGGTTAAGGATGTTATGTTTAGTTTTAATGGAGATAAGAGCCCAGGTCCGGATGGATATAATGCCAGATTTTTTCAAGCTTCTTGGGGAGTCATTGGGGCTGAAATTACTAGTGCTATCAAGAGTTGTTTTGTTTCTAGGAAGATACCTAGAGAGGTAAATGCTACTATCCTTGCTCTGATTCCTAAGGTCCAGAATCCAGATGAGATGAAGCTTTTTAGGCCTATTTCATGTTGCAACATAGTTTATAAATGTATATCAAAGATTGTGGCAAACAGATTTAGTGCTCTCCTTCCCTAGTAATTAGTAAGAATCAGACTGCTTTTTTCAAGGGGAGGGTTATTGGGGAAAATATTCTCCTTGCTCATGAGCTAGTGCATAAGTACTCTAGGAAGAATATTTCCACTAGGTCAGCTTTGAAGATGGATCTTATGAAAACCTTTGATTCTGTGAACTGACAGTTTCTTTTTGTTGTGCTTGAAGTCATGGGGGTACCTAGTCAGTCCATTGAATGGATAAAGATGTGTGTCACTAGCCCAATGTTGAGTATTGCGTTTAATGGGGGTGTTTAGTAGGTTATTTTCCTGCAAAGCAAGGCTTGAGGCAGGGAGATCCACTCTCCCCATATTTGTTTGTTGTGGCTATGGAGGTTTTTTCATGTCTATTGGATCTGAAAGCTAAGAAGGGGAGATTTCCTTATCACCCAATGTGCAAAAAGATTGGCCTGGCTCACTTATGTTTTGCTGATGATCTGTTGGTCTTTTCTGGTGAATCTAACTATGGTATTCAGAGTGTGCAGAGAGTTCTGAGTGTGTTTCACAAGCTATCTGGCCTACGGTCAAATCCTAGTAAATGTGAACTTTCTTTGGAGGGTTAGCAAAGGAGGAGATGATGGCTCGAGCAAGCAGATATGTTTATTAGTTAGGTGGGTTCCCTGTGCGTTACCTAGGAGTTCCTCTAGTGGCTGGGAAGCTCGCAGTTACTGCCTGTAGAACTCTCATTGATAGAATAACGAGCAGGGTGCAGGGTTGGAAGGCAAAGTCTCTAAACTATGCTGGCAGGGTGGAATTAGTTGGCTCAGTGATGTATAGTATGACACAGTACTGGATGAGTGTTTTTATGCTCCCTAAAACGGTCATTCGTGAGGTCGAAAGAATTCGTAGAAATTTCCTCTGGGCTGTAGGTCCTGGGCTCAAACTTAAAGCGAAAATGGCTTGGGAGTATATGTCTATTCCAAAGAAAGAAGGTGGTCTTGGGCTAAGGGATCTCACTACCTGGAGCTATGCCTGTGTTTTTAGGCAGGTTTGGGCGATAATGCTTCAGCATGGGTCACTGTGGGTAGCTTGGATTCAGGCACATAAGTTGAAAGGTAGGATTTCTGGACTGTAAATGTGAATGGTTCCTGGAACTGGAAGAAGTTATTGCGTCTTCGAGGTAAAATCCCTAACCTATTTAGCTTGAACAATGGCTTGATTCATTGGAATAATAATGCTATGCCAAGATACTCTATTAAGTTGGTTTGGGAATTTGTTAGGCCAAAGCAAACTGCAGTAAGTTTGTATAAGCTTCTCTGGAAAGGGACTTCGACCCCCAAAAATAGGTTCCTTGTATGGCTTATCATTCAAAAATATATACAAACCAAGGACAAGATGAAAAATGGGGATTTGCAGGTTCAGACCACTGTTTCCTCTGTGATCAGCCAGACGAGACAAGAGATCACTTGTTTTCTGTCTGTCCCTACTATTCTTCTATGCATAAGATGTTGTTGGGTAGATTTAGTCATGTTTTACCGCAAACATGGGAGGAGAATCTTAAGTGGGCTATCAGGAAATTTGGGGCAAAAATGACTAGAAGGTTGGTTTGGCAGTCAATGGTGAGTCACATTTGGAGGGAGCACTGTTGCAGAGCTTTTGGAGATACCAGAAAGACCCCTGAAGCTCTAGTTTCCATGATAAAAAGTGAAGTTAGGGTGATGGTACAGGACCTGATGGAGTTGGAAAGTTTCTGGTCGCCTGAATCCTAGATTTTCTAGCCTCTTAGCCGAGATTGTTTTGTTGTTTTGGTTCTTCTTTGGTAGTTTATACTCTTGGTTTTACTATATTGGAGTGTCCCTTTATGTTTTGGTTCTTGGTGGTAGCTTGTTCTGTAGGTTACTTGTAATTCCAGGTTGACATTCCCTAGATGGCAAGGGTGTTGCCAGTAACCATTTTTGATGAAATGAAAGTATACCGATTCATAACAAAAAATTAGTTTTAAAGAAATGCAATTTATTTTGACGTATGTCTAGTTTTTTCCACAATGAGAGGGTATGTTATTCTTCTAAAAATTAAGACAAAAATACTACGTGAAGCATAACCTATGTTAGATCACATCTAAATTTTAAGAATGCATTAAGTTAGAGAGGCCATGAGAGAATAATATGAAAAAATATCTTTTCTCACAAATATGCTTATATACGACACAAATATGTTTTGGATATAAACAATTATGACAATAGTTGAAACACAGGTTGAATTGTGTCCTACAGGTTACATAACCTTAAATCCAAACCCACCCCAAAAGAAATGAGTTGTACAAAGTAAAACTCTCACGCAACATTAAATCTTAATATCAAGGGTTAATACCTTATTCTGACCCGAAGTATGACCATATAATCAACTTTGGTCCGTGGTTCCAGAAATTAACATCATGGCCTTAACTATGCAGCATATACACTCAATTGGCCGGACGCGTGGTTTGACTGTCAATTTGGACAGTCAACACTGTTGACTGTTAGTCAACGGTCCAGCTCAATGCCATGTCAGCTCCAAATAAATAAAAAATTCTAATTTATTTTTCATATTTCTTTTGTCTAATAATAAAATAATTATTTTAAATTGCAAACAAATGAAAATTTTAATCCCCTTTCCCAATAACTCTTCCGCTGAAATCCCTTCCCCTTTGATTTTTCTCACTCAAATCAAATAAAAGACCACCTCACCATTGTCCCTCCCACCTTGAACAACAAACACCACCACCACCGCCTCCTCCTCCATTCTTCTGGGAAACCTCAAGAACCAAGCCCATCATCTCTACTGCAACAGTTTGTGAGAGGAACAACTTCCATGTGGCGGAGCAACCCATCGGAGTTGTTCTCCGCTTCTTTGAGGGAGGAAAACGACAAAGAAGTACCACTTGTAACATCCCGAACCTTTTCCCGACGAAAATATTGTCCGCTTTGGGCCTCGACCCTCACGGTTTTCGACTTGGGGTGCAATTCAATGTGACTTTCCATAAGGTCACCCATTCTTGTTGTAGTCCACACTGAGCACGATTAACTTCGGAGTTCTCAAGGAACTCCTCCATTTCACCCAAAAACGCGTCTTTTCAGTTAAGGTTAGTTTCTTACTAATGAACCATGGATCTCTCCCGTGTTTTGTCGATGTGGGATTTGCCTAAGGTGTTACAAGCTGCACTCGAGAAGCTCGCCACTTACGATCGCCGACGGAAGGATCTCTGGGTTAGGAACGTGTAATACCTGCCATGGACTTAGATCCGGTGATTTCCCCAAAAGAGAAGAGAGGGAATCTTTATCGCTATTATTCGATTCTACTCCAAAAATCAGGGGAAGCAATCTCCGGTTGTTGGGTGTGTGCAGAAGGCGGCGGGCGGCGGAGAGTTGTGGATGGGAGAAAGGAAGATGGAGAAAGCCAAAACACGGCGGGCGGTGAAGAGTTTTGGAGGCTGCTGAAAATCAGGAGGAAGGGATTTCAACGGAAGAGTTTTAGGGAAGTGATTAGAATTTTTTTGTTTGTTTGGCAATTTACATGAATTATTTTATTATTAGATAAAAGAATATGGAAAATAAATAAATTAATTATTTATTTATTTGGAGCTCACATAGCAGTGAGTTGGATCGTTGACCGTTAGTCAATGGTGTTTGTCGTCCAAATTGACGGTCAAACCACATGTTCGGTCAATTGAGTCTATATGCTGCATAGTTGAGATCAGGATAATAATTTCTGAAACCACGAGCCAAAATTGATTATATGGTAATACTTCGGATCAGAATAAGGTATTGACCCTAATATTAACGACTAATACGAGTGAGTTGGATCTAGTTGAATGAAAGGATTTGTTTGTAGGTATTTTTGTTCACCCCTACTCTATAGTCTATATAAACAGGGCCCGCGCCAAAGGATTAAAAAGTTTAAAACCCGCGGGGAAAACGACACGTAACGAAGCCCCTCGTTGGACACTCATCACTCTCTCTCACTGATCCCGACCGCGCGCACAGCGCACATTCCTCCAAAAGCGGGAACAACTACCGCCGCCGCTCCCCTCCGCCGTCGGCCGTTGGAAAATTAACCAAAAAAACAGAGGAAGTTCCCTTACCACGGTTTCCCCCTTAGAGATCCGCCTCCTCCGCTGATTTCAAATCCCACCATCTGTCAGCCGATACCATCACTAAAAATCAGTTTCTCTATTTTGAAATCCCTTTGAAACCAGAGACGGTTTTTCTGCGGCCAGTCGCGTAAATCGGTCAATCTCGTCACACCCATTACTTTCTCTTTCCCTTTCTTCTTATTTTCTCGGGAAAGTAGTGCGTCTCCCTCTCCAGTTTTCCCCCCCTCTTCGCGCATTCGAGAATAATTCGTTTTCCTCCCAAGAAAACAAGTTAATGGAATGAAAAAGAATCCCTATTTCGTTTTCCCCATTCATCGAAATTCCTCTTGCCTGCCTATTCTGAACTATCCTCCGCTTCTGCCGCCGCCGCCTTCGACGGAGGAGCGTCGAAATTGATTAACATCGACCGAACGAGACGGTAGTCAAGGGACGATTCCATTGGTATGGAACAGAAGCAGTTTCTTTTGTCGGCGTTGAGCGTCGGCGTCGGCGTTGGTGTAGGGCTGGGGTTGGCGTCACCGTCGGTGAGCAAATGGGCCGGCGGGAACGCTTCGGCGACCAACGCCGTGACGGGGGATAAGTTGGAGCATGAGCTATTGAGACAAGTGCTTCACGGGAGAGAAAGCGGCGTCACGTTTGCCGAGTTCCCTTACTACCTCAGGTCGGTCTCTCTTCCCTCCATCTTTTCTTTCTTCTTCTCTCAATTTTCATTGTCGTTGATTGGTTTCCCGTTTTCCTTAACTCACAATTACATAGTCAAGATTAAATAATTTGATCTGGGGTTTTTGTTTTTTTTTTTTGCAACTAAAGAGGGGGGAAAAAATTAGTTGCTCTGTATCTTCGAAAGAATTTGTTTTGATCTCATTACTATTCACTTGATCTAATAGTAAGGTGATAATGATAACATCGATATGGTTCTTTGTTTGATATCATCCTACTTTGAACCAACAACTTCTAAACATAAATAGAAAACAGTTTGATTTAATAGATGCAAAGTATGCTAATCTTCATTCACAACCATTCGGAGTTGGTAAATCCCTTGACATCAAACATAATCCAGTACGTTGATTCCAAAATCCTCTGAACGTCATACATCATCCACTACAACAAAGTAGGATCATTACTCGAAATGAAATGAAATGAAATGAAGCGAAGCGAAGCGCTAAACAAGTTTTGGTTAAAAGAATTGTGACCCAAATTTTCATTTGAGTTGATTACATAATAAGAATTTGCAAATGAATTTGTAGAGGATGAACCAACCTGTTGGGTTCACTATGTTAACCATTGTTGGAATCTAAATTTGGGATCTCTGATATCGATGTGGTTTTTGATTGCTATGGCAGTGACCAAACCCGAACATTGCTGACAAGTGCTGCCTATGTCCACTTGAAACATGCCGATGTTTCAAAGTACACGAGGAACCTTTCACCCGCTAGTCGAACTATACTGCTCTCTGGCCCTGCAGGTTACCACCAACCCATAAAAATAAAAATAAAAATCAATCATTTTTTAGTTTTCCGTGTTTGGATTTGTACATTGATGCTTGAACTTGAATCTGTGATTGTGAAGAACTCTACCAGCAAATGCTTGCCAAAGCTTTAGCTCATTATTTTGATGCCAAACTGCTGCTGTTAGATATAACTGACTTCTCCCTCAAGGTGAGAGCTTTTCTCTGCATTCCCCCCCCCCCCCCCCCCCCTTCTCTGTGTTTTGATTGGTGGGTGGTGTTGATTTGTTATGATGAACTTTCCTTGCTACAGATTCAGAGCAAGTACGGCACGAGCAAGGAAACTTCTGTAAGTTCTCTTCTCTAGATCGATCTTTTGTATGAGAAAACTGATAGTTTTGAAAAACACAAGTTGATTGTATGTTCGTGATGACCTTTCAAACTTCTTCTTGCGTCCTAGTCTTTTATGAAAAGGTCAGCTTCGATGGAGCGGCTGTCTGGTTTCCTGGGATCCTTGTCCATACTGCCCCAGGATAGAGGGCCTATGGGTATCTTTCTTTGCCTTCTCGTTCTCTTCTTGTTTTCTGGAGAATTATGACTCCGGATGTCATGACTCTGTCGTAGTCGTGCTGGTGCAGTTTCTTAGCCCTGATCAAGGTGGTGATCATGTTGTTGCAGGTGGTGGGACTCTACGTAGGCAGCACAGTGGAGTGGACCTTTCTTCAGCAGGGTAGGTAACAAGAAAAGGAGATTACTCTACTGATCAACCGGAAATATGAAATTGAAATCCTCTCTTTCCATCTCTGCTAATGCTTATGTTATAGTTCTGGTAAAAATCTTGCCTTGTTGATACAGTGGGATGGAAGGTTCCTCTAATCTCCCCAAGCTACGAAGAAATTCCTCTACTTCTAATATGAACATGCTAGCCGCACAATCTGCTTCTGCAAATACAGGTTTTTCACTGTTCATGCTCTGATCCCCCATTACTGTATTGATATGGTTACAAGCCTTTTACCTAACATGTTTACAATTCTGGGTTTTGTGCTCTCTTCCTGAGGCAGCTCCTTTGAGGCGACAAAGCAGCTTATCTTTCGACGAGAAGCTTTTTATACAGTCTCTTTACAAAGTCCTGGTATACGTCTCCAAGACAAGTCCTATGGTCCTCTACCTTAGGGACGTGGACAAGTTCCTGTCACGTTCGCAGAGAATATACAACCTGTTCCACAAAATGCTGAAGCAACTGTCTGGATCAGTGCTGATCCTCGGTTCTCGAAGCGTGGATCTCGACAACAACGACTACGTGGAGGTCGACGAGAGGCTCACATTGCTGTTCCCTTATAACATCGAGATCAAGCCGCCGCAAGACGAGAACCAACACATCAACTGGAAGTCCCAGCTGGAGGAGGACATGAAGATGATCCGAGTTCAGGACAATAGGAACCACATCATGGAAGTTCTCTCGTCCAACGATGTCGATTGTGATGATCTGGATACTATCTGCACGGCTGACACGATGGTTCTTGGTAACTACATTGAGGAAATTGTTGTGTCCGCTATTTCTTATCATCTGATGAACAGCAAGGATCCTTATTACCGTAATGGGAAGCTCGTCATTTCATCTAAGAGGTAATGATGGTTTATTATGAATATTTTTCGAATGGACAACTTAATATTTGTTTAAGACCTTAACTCTAGTGGGATTGTTTTTGAGCAACAGTTTGGCCCATGGATTGAACATATTCCAAGAAGGCAAATCTGTTGGCAGTATCAAGTTAGCAACTCAGGCTGAACTCCCCAAGGTCAGTGATATGCCTTTGAGAATAAGAGTCGGACCGAAAATGCAATTCATTTCATTAGTTTTGGTGCCGATTTAAATTCAATCACTATTTTGTTTGTCTTGTTTCTTATAGATCATGTAAATAAACCGAATCGAATCACTTGATTCTTCTGCGTACACCGAATCATTGTCCATCCTAATACTTGGAACCAGATCAATGAATTCTTAATCCTCTTAAGTTAATTGTGAAAATGACTACAGAATGTAGGAAAGCCAGAAGTAAAAGCTGACGCAGTGGTACCAGAAAAGAAGGCCGATACGGGAACATCAGGAGGAGGAGGAGCTAAACCAGATGCGGATGCTCCGCCACCACCAAGGGCTCCAGAGGTCGCACCTGACAACGAATTCGAGAAGCGCATTAGACCAGAGGTGATACCAGCAAACGAGATCAACGTAACCTTTGCCGACATCGGTGCTCTAGAAGAGACCAAAGAGTCACTACAGGAGCTGGTGATGCTTCCCTTAAGACGACCAGACTTATTCGACGGTGGACTGCTGAAGCCATGCAGGGGAATCCTGCTCTTTGGACCGCCCGGCACAGGCAAAACAATGCTTGCCAAGGCCATTGCTCGAGAAGCTGGAGCTAGTTTCATTAACGTGTCAATGTCTACAATTACATCCAAATGGTTTGGCGAGGATGAGAAGAACGTCCGTGCGTTGTTCTCGCTCGCGTCCAAGGTCTCTCCGACAATCATTTTCGTGGACGAGGTTGACAGCATGCTCGGGCAGAGAACCAAGGTTGGGGAGCATGAAGCCATGAGGAAGATCAAGAACGAGTTCATGACTCACTGGGATGGCTTGGCGACGAAGCAAGGAGAGAGGATTCTTGTTCTTGCTGCGACGAATCGTCCTTTCGATCTCGATGAAGCTATCATCAGGCGTTTCGAGCGCAGGATCATGGTTGGACTTCCTTCCGTGGAGAACCGGGAAAGGATCATGAAAACCTTGTTGTCGAAGGAGAAGGTTGATGAACAAATGGATTTCAAGGAGCTGGCGACACTTACAGAAGGCTACTCCGGGAGTGATCTGAAGGTGTGTATTATTATATACCTGTCACTGCTAATACAGCTTCTTAGGGACTATAAACACACCATAAAAATTCATAATGAATTCAGCTGTTTATGATGCACCTTTCTCTTTTGTACTGCAGAACTTGTGTACCACTGCTGCTTATCGCCCAGTTAGGGAGTTGATACAGCAAGAGAGGAAAAGGGATATGGTAAGTTTCACATCCCATCATTTCTTTCTCCATCTTTCTTTCACTAGAAACCCACTTGGCCGCGGCATCAATGCTGCATGCTATTTTGTGTTGCAGGAGAAGAAGAAAGCTGCAGAAGGTACAGAGGCGGCGGCGAAAGGAGAAAAGCAGGAGAGAGTGATTACTCTTCGGCCGTTGAACATGGAAGACTTCAGGCTGGCTAAAAACCAGGTAGGTTGATGTCCTTCCCCTTTTGCGCCTGGCTGAGAATGATACTGAGTAACTATATCCACAGTTTTTTTCTTTTTTTTTTTTTTTCTGCTGATCCATGGTGTTGGAGTGCAAAATGCAGGTGGCAGCTAGCTTTGCGGCAGAAGGATCGATAATGTCGGAGTTGAAGCAGTGGAATGACTTGTATGGTGAAGGTGGTTCAAGGAAGAAGGAACAACTATCCTACTTCTTGTAAAATTAATGCTTTAATCCACTAACCTAAAGGAACTAGGGGGTTTAGTTCTGTCTGTGCAAAGCCAAAATTGTGGGTTACTTTGATTTTGTAAAACACCATTATGTATGTATGTGTATTGTGTATAGATGATAGTACTGATGAAGATAGCAAAGCCAATCAGATAAATGTCTGCAGCCAGCTCCCCCGTCTGTAGGGGAATGACATGAGTTGAGCTCGCCATGTCAGACTGATTTTTGTTTGCTGTTGTTTTCCTTGCTATTGAAATTGTTGTTGTGTGTTAAACACAATCAGTTAATACAGTTATACTATAGAACCATGATCTTAACACACCACGGGAGAGTAGAACCTCGATGTACAAGCAGAGACTTACAATATCAAACAAAGATTAGAATTTCCATACAAGCTGCTTATATGAAAATAGACGTCCACAGAAGTAAGCGGGGGGGAGAAAAAAGCCAGGGGGGATGATGATCTATGCACTAGTACTGGCCAAAGTTTTACCACAAATAACTCCCTTCACAAAATGCAGGCCAACAAATCTTGTGTCACTACTCTCACGGAATAAGCACCACAAATGTAGAACCGCCCCAACCTGTTCATTTAAGCCTTCTTCTTGTCCTTCAATGGGCCTTTAGGAATCTTACTTAGCACCTTGGCATCAAACACTGCCCACTGTTTCTTGATCTCGATCCAAGCCTTCTCGCCCAAGGCATCCACCTTGTCTTCATACTTCTCATAGAAAACTGGCACTGTGTGGAGCAGCACAAAAACTGTATGCAAGGGGGGGAACAAATCAAGACATTCAGAACCTCGGGTCAAAACGGTGCACTTGCAAGAATCCAAACGTTGGTTGGGTGGAGATTGCATTACCAATGTAGAACAGAGTCAAGAAGTTGCACCAGCTTCCCACGATAGACAAGACCCACAAACCAGCAATTATCTGCAACATAAGCAGAGAGCAGTTTAGTAGAGTGCCATACAAAAACTCCAAGCAAGCTAGAACCTGAACGAAGTGAAGCAGAGCAAACATAATCACTTACAGCAAGGAACTTCTTCAGATCCCTCCCGGATGCAACCTCACGAAGGGTAGCCAAGCCACGATTGATCTCATTCCTAAGTGCAGCAGCGAATTGCAGAACTGGGTCTTCAGGGAGATGGACCTGTGGAATTCGTGGAGGGGTTCTGACAAAAATAGAAAAACTCAAGTCAGCTAAGCATGTCAAGAAAAATTTCCAGAACCCAAGATATGGGTTACAAGCATATGGCCCTATAAGCTTACTTGTTGATGAAGGCGGAGGCATTGGACCACAGAAACAAAACAGCGAGTGCAAGGATCAGGGCATGGCAGACCAGAGTGAGAAGGTGGTACTCGAGCAATTCAAAGAGCACCCACGCAGCAGTTGCTCCGCCAAGCACTCCTCCAGAGATCTTCTTGTTCCTCCACAGGAAAACATCCGCAGCTATTGAAAAAGTAGAGTCTGATCAGTCTCACAGCAAATATCAATTCCAGATGGAATTGTCAAACTCAAGCCGTTTGGGGAACTCTAAAGCATACGAGGATGATGGGAACAGTGGCTTCTAGGAAAGATGATTAGGGCAAATACAGCAAACTAAAGCCCGCTTTTCAATAATCGCATCATGAATCCAAAAGGTAAAAGCAAGTAAACAAAATTAATCAGCCTTAAAAAAGCAAATGACACAGATCTAAGTATCTAACAGTACAGAGAAAGGCACCAGATCTGCTCGTCCACAGCTACCAGAAGCTTAAAAACGAAAGCGAAGCTTGATTCTAGAATAATCATGATTAACCAAGCCCAAAAGACGAAGCAGAAGCACTGAGAACTGGAAATGGAGGAATAGTAATCGAAGAACCGGATGACAAATGGAGGGGGAACCTACGTTTGCCACCACCGAGAACCTTGTGCACCGGCTGCTCGCGGCCAAAGAGACGTTTAATTTTGGACTTCATCGACGAGGGAGAAGCCGGTGAGGACGACTTCTTGGGGTGGTCGTCGTGATCGGAGTCGGACGACGACGAGGAAGAACCATCGCCACCGTGGATCTTGTCCGCTATCTTATCAAGCAGCGACTCCTCCTTCTTCTCGTGATGCTCAGCCATGGCGATCGAATTCCTTCCAAAAACCCCTTCCAAAACCCTAAGAACTCTCCCCAAGCTAAGGTAAAAACTGAGAAAGAAAGGGTGAGGAAGTGAATGGAAAACCTTTTTCCTTTCTTTTCTTTTCCTTACCCCTGAATCTCTCTCTCTCCCCCTATATACTTGGCGAAACAAAAGGCCCTTGGCGTGTTCGGATATTAGCCGTTGAAATCGTAAAGTTTATCTGGACCGTTGATTTGGTTCGGTGGGCACCGAAGCTGGTAGGTTCGTAACGAGTGATACCGGCGGGTCAGGTTGTCAGGTCGACAGAGATCAAAACAAATGCATGGGGAGGCTTTTATTTTATAAGACCGAGGACTGACGCCGTCCAGGGATTTTTGGTTGACTCCGTTAACTTGCGACGTTGATAGCTCTACGTGTCTTTGCGATTGTAAAAGGGAAAGTAGCGCGTACAGCTAGAGTGTACCGAATTCACTGCCGCCAGCCTATAAGATGTCGCCACGTGGTCGATGTATCGTTCAAGTTTTCATTATCTTCTTGCTGCTGGTCACGCGATTCCATTGCTTCATGGCAGGGAGGTTAGTTGTTGTGTTTTTTTAAGGGTTACTATTTGTCGCCCGTAAATTAAACTAAAATGACATTTTTATCCTTTGTTCATTTTTTATAAAACAAACCTCATTCTACTATTACTGTCGCCGGCGCCAATCCACCACCGCCGCCAAATCGCCGACATCGCCACCACCGCCAGAACCAAATCACCACAGCCGGCGGAAGGGCCCCGTCCGACGCCGGCGGGAGGACCCCGTCCGACGCCGGCGGGCGGCCCCGTCCGACGCCGGCGAGCGGACCGTGCATTAGCGACGGTTTCAAAACCGTCACAAAATTCGTCGCTAAATGATATTAATTATTTAACTCAATCTTCTATTTTTTTTTTAATATTATATCATGCTAATAATTATATGTATGTTTATTAATTATATTTATGAATTAGAAAAACTAAAAATTATTCATAAGAAAAAAAATTAAATTATAAAAAATATTGTACAAACTAATTCATACTTATTTTATAATTATGTAAATAGAGCTAAAATAAATAAATTCAGTATAATAGCAATTAAATAATTATAGTATGTTAAATAATTACAAATGATCTGAAGTAGTGTATAAGAGAATGGATATTTAATCATAAATTATCATAAATATTGTATAAACTTATGAATAATTCATTTTAATTATGTAGAATAGTTATAAAATATTTATAAATTTTGATTAAACCTTTTTTAATTGTATTTATTTCATATTTAATAAGATCATCGTACCTAAATTATGTTTTATAAAACTTCCAAGGAATCGAGGCACGAAGAGGACTCTTTGCGGCTCGGGGAAGGTCGGGCAAAAACATCTTTTATCAATTACTAGAGTCACCGACATGAAAAAATATTAAAACTTTCATCGATCTCTTAAAATGTGGATGCAAATGTGTTGGAATCGATTGTTTATCAATCGGACATTCCCGACAAAAAGAGATGAATAGTGCCAAAACTTTCATCGAGGTGTTTTTAGGGCTCTGGGGGTGGTAACTAGGAGTTTCTTGAGCCTATCACATATATTTCCACGAGACGAAATATTATTGTTAGTGGAGGAAGAGATGATTTTGCCTCTAAAATAATTTCCTAGTAGGATTGGATGGATCGAGGTTGAAAGTAGCTATTCAAGGGGAATGAGGGTTTAGGGTTTCAGAGGAGTATAAGGTATAGGAGGTGGATGAGATGCTTTCCTTCTTTATTGTCATTATTGGTCCAGTTGAGTCGAGTTGATTCTTATTGTTGTTATCCGTCATCTTGGGTGAGATTATTTCAACTGTGGTCAAACCCTAATTAAGTCAAACCCTAATTCGAATCAAACCCTAATTAAGTCAAACCCTAATTCCCTCAAACAACTATGGTCAAAATAATATATAATTTAGTCAAACCCTAATTCGGGTCAAACCCTAATTAAGTCAAACCCTAATTATATCAAACCTTAATTCGGGCCAAACCCTAATTAAATCAAACCTTAATTCAGATCAAACCCTAATTCGGGTCAAACCCTAATTCCCTCAACCAACTGTGGTCAAATAATATATAATTTAGTCAAACCCTAATTCGGGTCAAACCCTAATTCCCTTAACCAACTGTGGTCAAATTAACAATTATATACTAATTATTCAACTATCAATATTAAACTAATTAAGATACTAACAATTGTATTTAAAATAAATCTAATAAATATTTATTTAAACCGAACCATTCAAATCGAATCATAAACCCAATCAGATCGGTCCGACCAGACCGAGCGGACGGGGTCCGACCAGACCGAATGGACGGGGTCCGACCAGACCGGGCGGACGGGGTCCGATCAGACCGGGCGGACGGGGTCCGCTCCGGCCAGTCGGACCGCGTCCGCTCCGGCTAGTCGGACGGCGTCCGCTCCGGCCGGTCGGACGGCGACTGAAAAAAAATAAAAAAAAAATTCCCTCCGCCGAGCTTGGGAGGTTGGCGGCGGCGAGAGCGAGCGAGGAAGTCGGCAGAGGCGGAGGGAGGAGTCGGCAGCAGGAGGTTGGCAGGAGGGAGGAGTCGGCGGCGGCGGGAGGGCCGGCAAGAGGATGGTCGTCGGCGGCGGGAGGGAGGCAGGAGGAGGGAGGGTTGAAGGGGGGCATATGGGTTGAGGGTGGGATAGGGTTAGGGGCAAAATCGTCTTTTTTTTCTAACTACGGGCGGCAAATAGTAAAACTGCGGGCGGCAAATAGCGATTCATTTTTTTTTTCCATCTCTTGTTTCTTCCGATTATTGGTAGCTTAATAACTAAGGCTAAATGGTAATGAAACGGATTCTCATTACTTTAATGGCCAAGAATAAAGAGCCCTTGGGTGTCCTTTACCAATTACCAATTTATCATAGGGTATGAATCTTAGGTGTCGAGAAATAAGTCACCGTCCATATACGACTCTTTTCTTAGCCTTGTCTAGAAGATTCACAAGACTCCTACAAAAACCCGTCTTCTGGAAGTATATGCTTGCTCAAATAAATGATCAAAAACTCAAAACTAGGTTGAGTCTATCTTTTAGCAGAGTTGTAAAGGCTTAATTATTATAATCCATCAGGCGATCGAGATTTGTGGCTCGATTGGACTTGTGACGATCCAATACAAAGGGTTCTCTCCAGTTGAACATATATACCAGACATATTTTTAGGTCAAAGTACCCAAAAGTTGAGGTTTTGGAAAGATTCTGAAAGCTAGAGGATCAGGAGGAGGAGGTCATGAATGTCTATGACTATAACTGAAAGCTAGCAAGATGGTCTTAAATCCTTGCCGGATGAAGATGAATATGCAAATTGCAATGGATCTAATCCATTTCACTGTACGTGCATGTAAGTCTGTAAAGAGAACCAACCATGCATCTCTTCCAAATACCCACCAGGGTAGCATGGGGGACAAGGAGGATTTGGTTGAGGGAAATTCAAGAATCCAGTAGGAAGAAGCCAGACACAAGTAAGGAAAAAAGATAACTTCAGAAGGGCTACTTTTGCTTGCTTGCACAGGTAAAAATAAAATAACAAACAGCAAAACGGGTTTGGTTTGGTTTGGTTTGGTGGCCCTATATATATCTATGCAAGCTTCCCCACTCAGGTCTCAATAAGAGCTAATTAAGTTAAGACAATAAGAAACAAGCAACGGGAGATAATAATTAAGAAACTCAATTACTCAACTAATCCCATGACCATGAGTAGGCCCAGCCAGTTTAATGGGTCTCTCTTTACCATAAACAGCCAGCAAGAATGAAGTTTAAAGACAAACCTTACAGCTGCAAGGATGTAATTAAGGCAAGAAAGAAGTTTAAAGTAACGGGCAATAAACTACCTTTATCGAAATGGTCCTGCCAGCCAATAACACATGCTGGAACTCCGAGGTTAACTTAGGTATGAGCTCTCAAGAACTAAACAAGTATGCAATTAAATTAATGCAGTTACAGGGGCGAATCTCTCGGGAGCACCCACCTTCTCTGTCCTGAGGTTAACAAATTAAATGAAAGAGAAATCCGGCCAGGTGGGGATCGGAGGAGAAGATGATGCATAATTAATTAGTGTTATGAGTTATTGGGATGGGTTTTATATATGCTGTTGCTGAACCACACAACTGCCACTGTGATGCTAATAGTCTAGTATATCAATGAAGGATCACAAGCTGATCATTATCTACACATGCGGAAAGGGAAAAGGAAAACCAAATCATGCTGTAAAGTGCAGAGGACAGCATAAATAGTATGGAGGGATTAATTAACTTAGCAAGCTCAAACCTGCTGCCATTTGCTTACCTTAAAGTCATCTCAGACATGAAATTAGCGATAGGCACGTCCTACTAAATCAAAGTTAAGGACCCCCTCCACCGGCCGTGAACGAAAAGGAGGAAACTGGGCTTTTCTGGTTCCGTTTTCTAAAGCCTACACCACAGACCAGTATATATAAATTAGCGTGGCCCCGAACATTTGGCCGGAGGAATGTAAGGTATGAAATTTGATAATGTAATGTGGTGTATAGCTTATTGTTGTATAGTTTTTTTTTTTTTTTGGAAACACGTGATAAAAAATTTAGTAGGAAAGAGACATGAATGATGCAACGAATCAAAAATCAGCCTTATGAACCAAAATCAAGTACCTGTTACCTTGTGAAAAAATATTGTTTCTGGTAATATGATGAGGTGGAGTAAGTTTTATAGAAACCGAATTCCAGAAAATCTAATAAAAACTCGCCTATCCCGCCGGTTTTCGGGAAATGAGCATCTCACAATCGTTGCTAGCTTTTACTCGGCCTGTTGGCCAATTAGTTTGCTTTATAAAACTTTCATCTTGTCATCATTGTGCTTTCTGTTTTTTGCCAAGCCATGATAAAATCTAAAGAAATCAAGAATGAACAACACGATTTGGGATAGGAACCACCGTTCCTGTATCCCTAGAAAATTGTGGTAAACACGGACTCACCTGCCAAACTGGTTTGGATTGAGATTTTTATCGGGTATCAGAGAACTATATGATTATAAATTAGACTTGATCAAAACGGGCCAAAACTTGAAATTCAGCATGTTTGACC